TGACACTCACGCTGACTAATTAAATCATGGTGCTAACCCTCCCTGGCAGAAGCATAGGTGAATCTTCCCCTTTCTGTGGTGTGAACTCTGAGGCTTGCCTGTCAGTCCCATCTTGTCAAAGGCATATTTGCTTGGCACACTGGTGCTTTTTCCAGCACAAGGACCCCATAGTCCCCTGGAGCTCAATTGCTTCAGGTTCTCAGAACTGCAAAGGTGCTCTTGGAACAGCAGCTGCTGCTGGCTACAAGGAGCTTCACACATAACATTCCCAACAGGGTAGCCAGGAAGGCATCCAGCTAGTAGACATTTCAAAGGAGCAGAGGAGTCAGAAACACATACAGTGTAGGAATTCCTAAGTAATGATGCATAAAAACATGACACTTCAATTCAGTTGGGAAAGGATGAATTTTTAAGTAGGACCATCTGGAAAAAATCAAGGTGTATTTTATATGAGTCAGCTTTGTGACGCGGTAACAAAATACCTGAGGTAATTAACTTATAAAGACAGCTTTAGAGTTCCAGTCCATGGTCAGATAACCCATGGCTTTCAAGTGTCTAATGAGGGGATGGATAGGAGTAAGAGGATGTCCATGGCAAAGTGAACTGATTGCCTTGTGGCCAGGAAGAAAGAGTAGAGGCAGTAAGTAGAGTTCCACAGTCCTCTGCGAGAGGGTGCCTGGAATGACTTTAAGGGAAACCCAGCAGACTTCACTTCCTGAAGACTCCACAACTTCCCAACATCACCCTGGGAACAATGCCTTGTACATATGTTAAATATAAAGGGCTACTTTCTTTAATATGTAAAGAGCTTTTGCAAATAAATTAGGAAAAACTAACTCAAAACAAAGTGGCAAAAGATAACAAAACATCATGAATTTTAAATACATAAAAAATGTTCAAGGTTGCTTATGATAAATAAGTACTAATTCAAGCAACAGCAGCATACCATCAAATGCTAATAAACTTTTGACCACTTATTTTAGTAGCAAGTATGTGAAGAATCCAATTTTCTCATTTTTTTTGTTGTTGGAGCATAAGTTGATATAAGCCCTAGAGAGAGCAATTTAGCAATATCAAAATAAAAAATGTAGACAGTCTCTGACCTAAAAATTCCATTCCTAGAGATTTATCCTACAGACAAACTCAGGCAAGAGAGTAATGATGTATATTGGGGATATTCACTGCAGTGTTGTTTGTGAAAGCAGAAGTCATTGTTCAACTGAGAAATTATTTTTAAAGTTAGTGCATTTCCGTACAATTAAATCCTTTGAAAAATAATGTAGCATTTAATAAGGAGTGTATTGAAGGAGAAAGTGCTCCTGAAGACCATTAATGAACACAGCAGGCTGGAAGAGGCATCCTTATGCGCCTTACACCATGAACATGACTAGAAGCTGGAGACAAAGGCTGCCTCTGTAGTTAAGGGTATGAAATAGACACAGGTAAGCGTGTCTGTTGTGCCTTGTGGATGATACGTGGCATTCATGTTTACCTATTTACAACTCAATGCTTTAATGGGAGGTTACCCAACAAAGCTGGTTTCACGGAGGGACACAGGTGCTTGGGTGCCAGGTGCCGGGTGCCAGGAATGAGCCTCACGCTCCAACAAGCAGGAGTGATGTTTGCACTAGAGATCAAAATTAAAGTGATGTGGAGGCAAGGAGAATGAGAGTGAGGCTAAATAGCAGCAGAGCTGCAGAGCGAGTGCTTGAAAGATGAATGAGGTAAGGGAGCAGGGGCTTCTGATGGAGGCCTTTAGTTGCTGCTAATGAGCTGAACTTGGGGCCTGTGTATCTATAAGTAATAGTCACGGCATACTAAAGGATCCTTACTTACTGCATTGCATGGTCTGTCACACATTGGTGGGACAAAATTTCCACCCTGTTTATCAGTGACGACGTTGATACTGCTCTTGAGGGCATTGGGATGAAATATAGTAACTTGGAGCAGATCCTCAGATGGAAAGAGAGTGTGGATGGATAATCATTAATTGCTTTTACCAGAAGGGACGGGGTACCAGAGGTAGAAGCCAAGCAGTGTGCACACCAGGCTATCTGGTTTATACTCAGGCTCACAGAAGGATGTAGTTTACACAGACCAAGCAAAGCCACCAACATAGTGAGACGCTTGGAGAAGACACTGCTTGATGGCAATGGTAGTGATGGCAACGACAGCAATAATAAACACTGATGCTATCTGCCCCTCTTGGCAGGATCCTTCACCAACCACATCTGCCCCTCACCCCGCTTAGGAGCCAGTTTCAGTTAGGAATCCCGGACTCTGACCAAGCTACTAAGACAAGTGAATGAGGGTCCTAGTAGCCACTGTGGTCAATGGTCATCTTATTAACTTTCAGAGCAGTTGGGTGATCCATGCTGCAAACATGCCTTTCCACAGACAGGCTGTGCTGCCACGGGAGGGCTCAGCGCTGCTCTGTTCAGCATTCATAGTGTGGGGTTTCACTTGTCCAATGAGGAACCAAAGCTATTTGATTTTTTTCAAGTTGTAAGAGGACCATGGTAGACTCCATTTCCTAGTCATAAAAGCAGCCTGAAAATCAATGTCATTTAAACAGAATCGTTTCCTGAAGGGGGTCGGTGGGGGGATGGAGGATGGGGGCAGGTGGGGGTGGTCTTTGTTGTTCATGAACCACAGCCCTCTGACATCTGAATCAGTGAACCCATTATGCCAAAGATACGGTTCAAGAAGAGTCTTCTAGGTTAGATAGCAGCTCAGATAGAGCGGAGTCAACACTGTCATTCCTACCCGACCAAACACTGGTGGGACCAGGAGATGACCAGCAGAGGTCACACTGGTGGCTCAGTGAGAGGACCCGAAGAGGCAGGGGCCAGTGTCTTCGGACCCATCGTTTTTGGTTTTTGGTTTTTTTTCTACAGGAGAAAAGGTTGATGGCTCTGTGTGAAGAGATTATTCCATCATCCCCCGCCCCAACCATTTTCACCAGAGGTGGGAACAGAGAATAGAGATGATTCTGCAATTTTGATCTCTACAACCTCATCTGAAATCATTCTCTGTGATTTAAGTTTTCTGGAAATGAAAAGGATAAATTGTGTGAACTTAGTTAAAGTTGGGAAGAAAAGTTGATTGGACAGCCTGTTGTCAAGGAAACCACCTCTCTCTCTCTCTCTCTCTCTCTCTCTCTCTCTCTCTCTCTCTCTCTCTCTCTGTGTGTGTGTGTGTGTGTGTGTGTGTGTGTGTGTGTCCTTTAAGAATAATTCCATTTAAGAATAATTCTTAGGTACCCAAAGCTTCCACACTAAAAACATATACAAAAAAAATTCTCCAAGAAACTGATTTCTAGAATTTAAAATCAGGGAGAACCTCCTCCAGCTCTGGTGGAGACAGCATCTCTCTAGACCAGAAACATAGTTGGTGACCACATTCGGGGTCAAGGCCATTGCAGAATGAGGTTGAAAAGGTAACAAGACACAGCACTAGGGAAAGAAAAGGCAAGCAATTCAGCCCCTTGTTACTCTATTAAGGACCATGCTTAGAGCCAGAAGCTACACATGCAAAGTCAAACTCTGGGTGAAGCCCCCCCCCCATTCAGGGACCACAGAGAAGAAGGAGGAGCCTGTTATTTAAAGACAATGGTTGTCCCCCCACTCCATCAGCATCAAGCCTGGCCAAGGGACTGTGTTGCCTTGTTCTAAACGTTGCTTGGCAGGAAGGATGCCGGCAAACATGCTCAGCAGTGTTCCTTGCTCTCTCAGGTCCCTGGTTTCCTACAATAGCACCCTGCCCTCAGGAGCCTGAGAGATGATAGGAAACATGAAAGGCAGAGCTGCACAGAGGAGCCCCCTCCCCGACTGACACAGGAAGCCCAGAAAATCCTTCCAGCCAGGTGGCTCTTAGGCTGGCCAACCTCAGCCAAATCTCAGATGAACTCGAAAGAGTAAGTTGTCTGTGTCCCTGAGTTTGGGGGTAGTGTGTTACACAGCAGTCACAGACATCTACTGCAGCAGCTTCACTTTTTACTTTCTCAAGGTCACAGAAGAAAAGAGGAAGTGGTGGGCCACTCGTTCTCCTGGGTAGAGCCATGTCCACAAAGATTTCAAGTCAATACCTTTCCAAAGCAGCACTGAGAAAATCTTTGGGGCAGAAAGGTTTAAAAACTCATCAGAACAGGCAAAGGAGTCCCACAGAAACTGTGCACCTAGAAAAAAAACGACTGCTAGCCTGGAGATCTAGGAGAAGCTATTCAAAGTCAACCAGTGGCTGAGGAGGAGCCGTATAGAAACAGACTGAAAGGAGGGGGACCTGGCGAGACCATGCTAAAAAGCAAAAAGATCCAAGCCTTTCAGAACTTGAGCATACAAAATGATCTAAGCAAAGATTCAGCACAAACATCATGAATCATAATAAAGCTTAAAAGAGGGCTCAGCAGTTAAGAGCATTTGCTGCTCTTGCAGAGGACCTGGGTTCAGTTCTCAGTACCCACATTTGGCTCACAACCATCTGTAACTCCAGTTCCAGAGGATCCAATGCTCTCTTCTGGCCTCAATAAGCTCCTGAATGCACATGGTACATGTGCGCATGTGTATAGATTAAAAATTCTTTTTTAGAAAAAGAATGACTACAAACAGAAAAAAACAATCCATCAAAAATAAAGGGAAGGGTTATGTTAGTTCTTGTGGCCACAAACAAGGAGACCAGGTGTCCCAGTGTATCCAGGACAGGCTTGGTCACACTGCTGTCATATGTCATTATTCACAGAGCTTATTTCCAGTACCAGAAGTGTGCCAGGTTAGGTGGCAATAACACATTTTGGTGGCACACCTTACCCACGGGATGGAACAATACAGGTCCAAATAAGAGCCGGCTCTCTGTATGTGTGTACTATAGGTTATCTATCCTCCTTAGGGATCCTCAGAAAAGAATTCAAGTGTTCAGGACAGGCCTATTATTGTCATGACTTCCAAATTGGTTCAACACGAGAAACCAAAACATGTATAAGAGAATCTGAGTTTCCACCTTACCCACACAGAGGCCCGTATCTCTCCCTGAGTTCCAATTGGCTCTCCCAAAATCCCTGCAGGGGAAAAAAAAAAAAAAAAAAAAAAAGCACAGGACCATGGTAAGAATAAAATTGAACAAAATGTCAATGTTTCCAACTTACTCAGGAAAAAAAATAAAACCCTAGAACAGCAAAAACACAATTACATAAACAATAAAAGAAGAATAACCATTATATTGTGTTGAATTACTATAGAATATTGGGTAAAGAAATGGCTTTTAAAAATATTGCTGAGCAAAACTCTCATCCGCTCTATTTAATGGACAGAAGAGACCACACGCACTTAAGCTCTCTGTGCATAATTGCTGCTCACACATCTGAAAACTATTTGGTTTTACATCCACAATATTCCTCTCGGATGTGGCTCACGTGTGCCAAGTTCCCTTTCATGGCCCTCATATGTGTAAACTTCTGAATCTAACCCAAATTATCACAATTTCCAAATTCACATGACCCAAGTTAAATGTCGAACAACAGATTCCAAACTACTAAGACCCTCAGCATGGTTTTTCATAGGCCGAAACTTTAGGGTATCTGAAGATGTGCATGGGGTAAAATTGGCAGAGGCCAGAACATGCAAACCCCTTGTGCTGTGAGGCTGGACCCGAAGTATCCGTAGACAGGGAGCATAAGCAGGCATGGTAGGGCGTCCCGGGGGCAAGCACTGACACTTCCCACTGAGATGTGGTGGGAAGGACATGTCTGTGAAAATGTGTCTGTGTTGGGAAGCCTGTGGGTGGACAATGCTAGATCTGAGCCATAGGGATGGAGGGTCAGAGAGCTGGAGGTTAGAGAAAGCACATGTCCTGAATGGAACTATGCCCTGCTCCCGGGAGCTCCACCCCCACAGTGAAAGCCAGGACTACAGCAAGGACAGTCTAGATGAACACAGGACTAGAGTGTAAATTCAGGGCCCTGCCCATAGACAGAGACAGGAGAAATAGTCCTCCCCAGGCATTAACCCCCTACTTGGTTATCCAGTACCAAGTGGTCAGCCCTGAAATCTCTCTCTCTCTCTCTCTGACACACACACACACACACACACACACACACACACACACACACGTAAGTGGCCTGGGCAAGCTGTGTCTATTCATTTACATATATCAACTAAAGAAGGTGAGATCACGGTTTTGAAAGGGAACAATGGAGGCGTATGGGAGATAATAGAGAGAGGAAAAGCAGAAAATGATAATGATGTAATTATATTTTAATTAAAAAAATACGAGTACCTCAGGTGGGTGCCCAGATTAGTACATCTGTTTTTATAGACCTCTTTAATGATTTGACTTCCCTGTTCTAGAAGGAGCATGGCAGAGTTTATACTCACAGGACAATGAGCTCAGAGGAGCTGCTGGAGACACTCTCCAGAGCCAGCCAGCCAGGGCTCTCCTGACATGACATTACCCTGCTCCTCCAGATGTTAAGACCAAATACATTTTACTCAGCTGACTACTGATCGGTTCCCCCTACCTTGCAACGGATGGAATTTATTTTCTTTCCCATAATACGGTTTGTTTGTTCTGCTTTGACACTTTTAAGTCTCTTCACACTTGCTTCAAGAGGGTGTAGGAGGTCTGTTGGGGTGATGGTGGGCTTAAAAGTTGTGAACCCGGCACCCCAGAGAGAAGGATGAGAGGAGAGGGTGTTTGCAAAGCGGTGGAGGTAGCAATGCCAGCAACAAATGGTGAAGAAAGACAGAGAACGAAAAAGAAAGGAAATGGAGGAGTGGCAGGCAAAGGCCAGGTGCAGGTCATTCTCTGCCTGGGAGTGAGGGCAGTGGCCATGCAGGGGGAGGGGTTGGAAGTCCCAGCATCCTCTGAGGCTTGCTATCAGGGTTGGCCCAAATTAGCCCTTCCTGCCCTTGTATGGCAATTCACGCGTAGGATCTGGTGGCGCCTGCTGTTGGTCTGGAGGCAGTGTCCCCACAAGTTAATCAGGCTTCTGAGAAAAACCAATGGCAGTAAAAAATAACCTTCAAAAATAGATACTGCGTCCCTATCTGCAAATGCCCTGGTCATCTCCATTGCCATGTCACTTGGGAGAGCTGAAGGCCACACACTTAAAATATCTTCTCACTGAACCAGCTTCCCCTCCCAACCACTTCCCTCTGCCTCCCCATAGCCACTGTCTCTGCTCTGCAGGTTCAGCCCTTCAACTACTGTTTTCCTCATTTCCCCCGAGTCCCCTGAGTTTGGGAGTCACTGCGTCCTTTGCCCCAGCTGTTCTCCTCTCAGGACTGCCTTTGCCTCCCTGCAGTCAGCCCTTACCCCTTCAGCCTTGAAGTTGGCCACAGCATGGATTCTGCAACCCTGATCTCAACTCTTGTCCCTTGCAGGACAGTCCTGCATTTCAGTGTCAATCCTCTACTCAAGGATAGTAGCCTAGAATGGTTCCTGGATTGACCTTCAAATCTGCAAGTAAACTAGCTCATGTGTCACACACAGCTACATCCTATAGGGTTCCCTCATTAGCTTGGGTCCCTGCAGGCTGCTGGCTGACCAGTGCCACCATTCCCATAAGGCTGCCGTCTTGTGCACGATACTCTCTCCCTGGTGTGTGTCCCTGTCTACAGCTCCTGCAGGACCTCCTTCTCCAGGAATGCTCCCACAATGATCCCTCCTTGGTGGTTCTCCCTGGAGCAGGACCACAGCTGCTGTCTGCATTTCCCAATCCAGTACTTGACACATCCCAACTGGTGATATACACCATTGCTTGTTGGTGACCTTGAAAGTGTCAGTACCTTCTACTTCTGCATTCTAGAACTTGGTATATTTAAATACTCCATAAATTGGGTTTGGGGTGGATGAAAGAATGAAATGAATGTATACTGATGCATCATAAGAGATGAATATCATATAACAACAAAAGCTGGAGATGTAGCTTTGTCGGTAGAGTGCTTGCCTAGTGTGCACAAAGCCCGAGGTTCAACCCCAGCACTGCAGAATCTGGGTGTGCACACCTGTACTCCTAGCACTTGGGGTGGGGTGTGCAGTAAGAGGAGCAAAAGTTCAGAGTCATCACATAGCAAGTTTGAAGCCAGCCTCAAAGGAAGGAAAGGAGAGAGGGAGGGAGGGAGGGAGAGAGGGAGAGAGGGAGGGATGAGAAGGGTTCTTCCCATCACAGGTATTCTTTTTGTTGTTGTTGTTGTTGTTTTTGTTGTTCAAGACAGGAACTCATTCGGTAGACCAGGCTGGCCTTGAACTCACAGAGATCCGCCTGCCTCTGCCTCCTGAGTGCTGGGGTTAAAGGTGTGTGACACCACCACCTGTCATATCTGTCACTCTATTCATAGTCCACAAAGATTTGGTATCATGAATGGCTGTTGAAGTTTATTAAATATTTCTTGGCATCTGCTGAGATCATATGCATTCTCTCCTTTACTGTGTTAATGTAACAGGTTATATTTGATTACTTTTCAAGGCCTATACTCTTTGAATAAGCCCCATTTACTCTTGATAAATTACTCTGTAACATGTCACATGTGTTCTTCACGTGGAAATCACTGTGACTCCTGAAATGTAAACAGGAGCAATTCCCCAATGGGAAATCTTGTGCAAGATCCAGAGTCTCACCTGGCAGAAAAACATCAAGTTTCCAACAAAAGGAGAGGGCTTGGGGTGTCTGATGCCCAACTTCTCCAGTCTTGAGAACGCCGATGTGGAATACCTGGGTGGGTGGAGAAGCAAACTTTTAAAGCCAAGAAACTAACTTGTATTCATGTCATTGGCCCTCTTATGAAGGAGAACTATTGAGTTCTCTTGGCTAGGCTGAGAGAAGTTCCCAATGAACTCATCTAAAGGCAGAAAGCTAGCAAGAGGGAAGGAACTCAGGAGTGCCTCCAGATGAGGGGGGGGATGGGATCCTGAGGCCTCCAGATGGGGGGGCAAGGGATCCCGATGCCTCCAGATGGGGGGGATGGGATCCTGATGCCTCCAGATGGGGGGGATGGGATCCTGAGGCCTCCAGATGGGGGGGATGGGATCCTGAGGCCTCCAGATGGGGGGATGGGATCCTGAGGCCTCCAGATGGGGGGATGGGATCCTGAGGCCTCCAGATGGGGAGGTGGGGTGGGATCCTGAGGCCTCCAGATGGGGGGCTGGGATCCCTAGGGCTGGGGTCTGGCGGTACCTCAGAGGAGGCCATCCTAACACCTCACTCCACGAGAACTCAGTCAGTATCTCCACACACTCACCTCAGTCCCTCAGCTTCTGAATCTATCAAGAATCATAACTCAGAAGACAAAGCAAAACCTTACAGCGGCAGAGAATCAGCTCCCAGGTATCACTTTCTGGGTCCCGGCCAACCCCCTATTCATATGCAACTTGCTGCTCATCACATCTCATGGCCATGGCCTCATTGAGAAAAAAAAAATAGTGGTGGAGGCACCTCAGGGCAAGGAGACCTCACCTCAGGGCAAGGAGACCTCACCTCAGGGCAAGGAGACCTCCTTACTCCCACCTACAGCCTTTGTAAGGCTGTTTTCCTGCCTAAACACATAAGGGAGGCAAATTTTCTCCACCCCAAACCAGGAAAAGTGGCCCAGCCGAGGCTGCGCTACTTTCCAGTACGGCTGTCCAAACACTGGGATTATGGGGATATTTCAGTTTATGGGGACAGAGAGGTGACAGAGTCAGAGTTGGCTTGGGCAAACCTGCCATATGGCCCCGGTCCCCACCCAGCCAGACAATTAGGTCAAAAGTTCAGTCGGTTCAGAAAAATTAATGAGTCAAACTGGGTGTTTAGCATCATGCAGAGATCAGCCAAATCCCAATTTAGGAACAAGGAAAAATAACAGAATAGCGCTCCAGTCTGCCTTCTGATGAATACAAGAGCGCAAAACATTCTGCAATGAGAAGGATGGTACATTTGCTTTATTCTCCAGTTCAGCAAACCCTCCAATATCCAGGGAGGGGGGACGACTCTTAAGTATGGTTTACAGCACACAGCATTGTACCTATAGCTAAAATAGCCATGGAGAAGGACCGGACAGGGCACAATGGGGAGCAGGGGAGGGTCCTCCCTGAAAGGTTCAGGCATTATGCTGGCCTGCTGCTGTTACCTGGCGGAAACCACTCAGGCAGTACCCGGGTCAGCCCAGGGTTCCATGGGAACCAAGTCTGCACACAGGTGTAGAGGACCCCTTTAAAAAGACAGACCCCTGCCCACTTTCTCTCTCTCTACTCTCTCCTTCTCAGCTCTTCTCTTCTCCCACCTACTCTCTCTCTCTTGTACCGGCCTTGGTGGTCAGCCATTAACCCTGTTCCTCTTCTCTCTCAGTCTCTCTCCTCTGCCGGGCCTATAATAAACTGGTTAACATGTCTAATAGTCTCATGTCTCATCTTGCTCCTCTTCTTTTATTTCTAATTTAAGCAAAAGAACAACACTCCCAGCATCTGAAAGACTGCTGGTTTGAATGACTTCCCAGAACACCACCCTGAAATACACATTGGAGTGGAGTCATGAAGCACATGCTAGAGCCACGTATGAATTACGTGGATTAGCCACGCCCACATTCCTGTTCATTAGTGTGTGTGCTAAAGGTCAGCAGCACCGTTTGGAAAACGCAGCCTTTCAAGCAAGTGATGGTATTTTAAATGACTCCCCTTATCCTCAAATGGAGAGGTCAAGGGAGACTCTCAGCTATTGAATACTTCCTTTAACACTCTCAAACCGGAGATTTTCCATCAGTTTTTGCAAATTATTTTCTAAGTATAATCTCTGATGGATAAAGAGAAATATGAAGATCTTGGGCCACGTAATTACATCTTAATTTAGTAATTAGATGTCTTGATTGTCTAATTAAAGGACAAGAAGTCTGTGCCTAATTATACATGCTAATTATTATGCAAGTCCACGCCCTCATTATGTAACTGCACTTAGAACACTGCCTGTGTGTCTCTGCACAAAATTCAGACATTTTCAAGCATATGGCACCAGCAGAGAGTGTCCTGTGCACAACCCCAGATTTTGCTCACAGCCTGGACTCCAGTGCAGAACGTGGGAGTCTTCAGAGGGAAGAGACCAGGTAAGGGAGATTACCACTACCAACATAAGGGACAAAATTGCAATGCAGGTACAATTTGTGTTCATCCCTTTCCTTCTCTGAAATGTGTTGTTCTCATGTGATCTGGTCTCTGGGGTCTCCGGCTGACCTCCAAATGTCTCACCAGACACCCAAGCCCATGGACTTCTTCAGCCATGGGGTGATAAGTTCCAAATGACAAGCTGAAGTCCTAGCCTCCAGGACCTTGGAACATGACTCTTTGGAGAGAGGACCAGCGTGAATGTCTTTAATTGAGATAAGGTCATACTTAAGTCGGTGGGGCCTCTCATCCAAAAGAACTGGGGTCCTTGTCAGAAGACGGCCATATTGTTTACTTCCCTCGATGCTGTGATAAAATACCTGATAAGAGGCAACTCAAGGAGGAGAGCTTACCTGGCCTCACAGTTCCACAGGTAAACATGGAGGCAGAGCAGTCAGGAAGTGTGGCAGGGCACCAAGGGCCCACTTCCTCCAGCAAGGCTCCACCTTCTAAAGGCTCCACCTCCCAAAGGCTCCACCTCCTAAAGGCTCCACCTCCCAAAGGCTCCACCTCCTAAAGGCTCCACCTCCCAAAGGCTCCACCTCCTAAAGGCTCCACCTCCCAAAGGCTCCACCTCCTAA